TGAGATGGATTGATAACGAAGACATCGTGCAATACGAAACTGAGTGAATTTATCTTCTGTTTCTGCAAGCCATTGAACGACGTCACCTTTTCCGGTAAACGGAGTAAATTTACGTAGAATGAAAATATCGAAATCATCATTGTTCACGGTTTTCTCTGTCTCTACGGTTGTGTTCTGGTATTGTTGTAATTCTGAGTCATTTTGAGTTGACTGACACGCATTTTTCTTCATCGGTTGAAAGTCATTAGTTGCGACATGCGTGTGTGTATCGAAATGACTACCCTTCGTGTCTGTACTTTCAGTAGAAACGCCCGGAGCGGCATTCACTGTACTTATGGAAGGCAGCATAGCTCTCCTTCCACCTTTGTACTTAAATTTCTCTGTATCACTGTCCACAAGGTGTGTCGACGTAAAGATATCGGTACTTTCAACGACGCTATCTCTTAACGATCCACTGGATCGTGATTTAATAAGGATTTGTTTTGGTGTGGAATCAGTCATTTTAGGTGTTTTTTGACAAATATGAAAGTCTTTCGATATGGTGAGACACTTGAATCGATATACACGAAAGAAGAAAAGAAGAGAATTTGTTTATACGGTTAGATAACTAAACGTAGATTTGAATGTATTTGCGAACTATAATAAATGAGGCGAAAGATGCCCAACTTCTCCACCAATTTGTGAGTCTCGACTTCGGGGATGCGAATAAATCGTCGTAATACTCACAACAAAAATGAAAATATCTCCTATCACCTACCGTATATCGATGTGATGAAGAGAAATCCGAGTTGATCCGATGTCGGTTTATTTCGGGAGGAAAAACGAAGACATCAAAACAGAGGAAAAATCGACAACAACGAAACAAAGAAAACCACACTCTATATAACGGAAACGATAGCGTCTAGACAAAGAGAAATCTAACGACGCAATAAAGGAAAAAAAAAAGAAAAAAGGTCATCATGAGTACAGGGTCGGAAAGAATATTATTCAAGGGGGGTAACCCTATAATCTCAAATAAGAGATATGATGAATTTTATACCAAATGAAAGTCCGTCGAAAACGGGATTTGTTGATGTAAAACAGAGTGTATCAATAATGTTTTTAGTGTCGAACTTAAATTAGTTTTAGAGATTTTACACTTTTTCGCGTCAAAAATCCATATACGAGCACTATTAACATAAACTAAACAAGTTTTTTTGTAGATGTTGTTATATAGTTCGATAGAGCTCGTCGAGCTCTACAG